AAAATGAAAGTATTTGAATAATTTATAAAAGTAAAATATAAAAAATTATTTTAAAGTGTAAAAAGTATTTTCATGGTAGTAACGGCGATCATGCGGATTATAAATAGGTCTGTTTCTGTGCATTGGCCTTGCTATCAAAATGGCATTTCTGTTGCTTCTTGAAGAGCTTGCCAATCGTGCTCTGAGAAGGGAACGCATGTTTGAAGATCATTTAGATTTATTTGGCACACAGCGTTCACACAGAAGGTGATATCTCTCCATGTATCAGCTTTCTTGGGGGCTTTAAAGCCACTGGATACGCTACTAAACAACATGTGTCTATGTGCATTTACTCCCTGTACAGTAAAATCCAGTTATAACGGACTTAAAGGGAGCTGGCAAAACAGTCCGTTATATGCCGAGTTGCTGTATGCCCAGAACACAACTACAGGACACCATTTACTCATGCCACACCCCATTAAATTATTATAAATTATTTATAATAAATTATTATAAATTAATATATTGTACATGTAGTAATCCAACTTTACCTGAGCAGATGCGTGACTGTTAATAATCCCGACTACGTATCTGCGCTGGATATCACCGGCACGCCACACGCCTTGTAGGCGGAGCTGCATGTCTGTTATAGCCGAACAGAACTACAGCTAAAAGCGGCCCTGGGGACCAAATTGTTTGTCCGTTATAAGCGAAATTCCGTTATATGCGAGTCCACTATATCCGATACTTTTTCTGCATGATCTTTAAGGCGCACGGCCGTTATAGATGATATTCCGTTATAAGCGAGTCCTCTACAACGGGATTTTACTGTATTAATAATTCTACTTCAGCATTACTGAAGGTTTTTTTTCCTCTTAGTGCCAAGCGGCTCACATTACCTGCGCACCTCTTCACTATTCCTTGCACACGGCCCTACAGTCTCATGCCCTTTTATGGGAAATTGCAGGGCGTTTCCCTATGCTAATTAGGACAAGTTACGAAGACGTGGGATTCACCATTCTTAAGAACAAAGGTGTGAACAATTCTGCTACTTAAGAACACGTCAGGAATCCGACGTAGGTTTTTCTTAACAAATTTCGCGGGAACAAATTTAAGAGAATTCTTAAGGAAATATTGGTGAATGAGGCCCAATAACATTAATGTAAAATTGAACCCTGCAGTTCACTATGCACTATGAACGCAGGCCCACTGTGACATTGTGCCTCTAATAACTACCCTGCTGCTTCCTGTCTGTTAACCAGTTTTCAATTCAAGCTGCTACAGTTCCTAAAATCCCTGCTGCTTTGAGCTTAAGCTGGACCTGTTTGTGGGGGGACAACATCAAAGGCCTTCTGGAAATCTAAGAACATCAAGAGCAGGTGGATGACAGATGGCCGGCTACATGTCCACACTGTGACAGTGTGGCCCTATCAGACAGGAGAAAATGAAGACAGATATTGCCACCTCTTTGCTCTAGCAGCAGGAACCTGCCAGAGGACAGGCTGACCACCCCCAGCTTCCCCAACTCATGCCACAGACTGGCATTCAGCTGAAGCTGCACTTGTAGCTTAATGATTAGGAAGACAATGAAGTCAATGGATAATCAGGTTTCCTCTCTATATCAAGTGTAAAATTACATATCTGCATATTTGAAGATGTTTGTTCCTTTATTTCAACATGTTTTTAAATACGTATTGTTATTTTTATTAGCATTTTAAATATTTGCATATTGTGAATGCTTCACACTGAGCTAAGCATAGGTGACATTTTTATACAACTGGTAAATACAACAGACATTTGTATACTGTATACATAATACCATTTATGGATACTGCATTTACACATTCCATGCAAACTGTTAGATGAGAGAATGTAAAATGTGGGGGTCATCGCCCACTTCCCCGGAGACCATGCTGACTGCTACGTAACTTCAGACTTTAAAAATTCTTTTGGCCAATAGCCCACAAGCCCCAGCCCCAGTAAGTAACCACGCAGCACTACATCATAAATCAAGGAGTCTGCAGATCTAGCTTTTCAAACAACAATAGCAGTTACTGTTACTGCAGTTACGGGAGAATCATGTCGTCTTCGCATTTCTGAAAACGCACATCGGGTTGGCCTCCGCTTCAGGAAGAGCCTCTCCGCGCCACAGGCTTTGCCCCTGCTTCATGAAATGGAACGCAGCAGACTGACGGAGGCCAGGTTTCGTTTGTCCAGCAGGTCACTGATGCCTCATGGAAAAAGTCCAAAATTAAGACGGAGCAAGAACCCGACATGCCTCCACAGAAGATGCGCCGTGGTACCCGGAAGCCCTATCCGCGCCAGACGGCAAAAGACGGCACTGTCTGGGTAGAGGAGGACATTGGAGGTGGAACGCCCAGTGCATCAGCACATCGCTCGCGCTTCACTGCGCACACTGGACCCACAGAGTCTGCTAAGGTTTGTCATTGCCATAGAACATATGATATTTATATAAACCCATGTATTATTTATATAAACCCATTTAGAGTGAGGTTCATGTAAATTTACCACTCAATTTGTTTATCTTCCGACAGCGTAAAATTACAAGCGTGCTCCAAAGCTTCCTCTGCCTCTTCGACATGGGAATGCTGCAGATCATCACAGAGTGTACGGTCCATCACGCCCACAGAACAGAGCCGAAGTGGAAGCTGACAGTTCATGAACTGATGGCATTCATTTCTATTTTGTTTGTGAGAGCAGTCATGTGTCCCGTTGGTGCCGTAGTGGATTGCTGGTCAGAAAACTTTCTGGTGCCAGTAATCAAAGAGACTATGTCCCGAGACAGATTCATTTCAATTATGCAACACCTTCGATTTGACAAGCACCCACGGACAGAACGGGTGAAAGCAGACAGATTTGTTGTGATCTCTGACATCTGGACACGCTTCACTAAGAACTGTGTTGAGAGTTTCACTCCAGGAGAACACATAACCATAGACGAACAGCTGTTCCCGACCAAGGTTCGTTGTCCATTCACGCAGTATATCTCATCCAAGCCGGACAAATTTGGGATCAAATTCTGGTTAGCGACGGATTTGGAGACCAAATATGTCTGCAACGCGTCCCCTTACTTGGGAAAGGACCCCAATCGTCAGAAGGGGGAGAGGCTGGCAGAGAATGTGGTCATGAGTCTGATGGAGCCATTTCTGGACAAGGGGAGAAATGTCACCACGGACAATTTCTTCACCTCACTGTCACTGTCACACAGACTGCTTCAGCGCAACACGACTCTACTGGGCACAGTGAATAAAGTTCGCCGTGAACTTCCTCCATCAGCAAAGGACACTGTAGAGCGAGAGGAATTCTCCACATCAGTGTTAAGAAATGGCAGTGTCTCCTTGACGATCTACTCACCGAAAAAAAAGAAAACTGTGTGTCTTATGAGTTCCTTGCACCGAGACGTGGCGATCGGGGATGACAAAAAAAGGAAACCCAACACAATAACAGACTACAACCACATGAAGGTATGTGAATGTGCATATAATTTTACATCAGTGCTGCAATGTTTTCTGATATGTACTATACAGGCCTATATCGGGTAGAAAAAAAGCACATATACTCATGTCTCTCTCTCTCTGCTTTTAGTGTGGTGTAGATGTGTTGGACCAGATGGCACGCATGTATTCAGTACGAGCAGCAACACGCAGGTGGCCAGTAGCCGTATTTTACAACATGCTGGACCTGGCGGCGGTGAATGCCTACGTTCTGTACAAGGCATGCACAGGGTGGAAAGGCAAAAGAAGATTGTTTCTGAGTCTTCTAGCCAAGGAACTCCGTTGCCGATTCATGCAGCAAAAGGCAATGGAGACAGAAAGGAAGGCTGCGGCTGCAGCTGCAGCGTTTGCTGCTGCTCTGCAACGACCTGTACAGACAACTCAGTGCCAGGTACAAGAGAGCTGCAACAGAAATCGCAGCAGGTTTACCTGCGTAAAGTGTCACAAATTCACCTGCGGCAAATGCAGGGACAGTGGTCACTGGATCTGCAAACGCTGCACACAGAAACTTTGAAAGACAGACACTGTGTGGGAGAGTAACTACTGAGACAAAAGGCAGAAAGATGATGATGAGATGAACCTGGAACAATTTTTGCTATTTTTTTTACATGAACAGCCAGAGGAAAGAACATGCAAAGCTGGAGAGATCACACAAAACAAAATTCACTTTTGGTTTTATAATTCAGTGATGGCCAATCAAAATGAAATGACAGTATTTCATTCTATACGTGTACAAGCATATTATCAACCACGGACCATGACTTCACTCAGCTTATGACATTTGTGTACAAACATACATTGGAGACTGATGCGTTAACATGTTTTCATTCTATTTTCACTCTTTTTTATAAATAAAATAGACTTGTGTTTCCATATATTTTGTGAATGTGTGTCTTTCATATTTGCAGGTCAGTCAGTGTGGGATATTTTGTATAGATATAGCAGGCTTTTGTGAAGGTTTCCATGTCACAAACATAGGTTTGGGCTGCCTTGGATTTAAGCAACCAGTCTGAGTAAAGGCAAATGTGCCAGAGTTCACAGGTGATTAGTGTGTTTGCACAACAAAAGCAGGAGGACAACAGAGCTGAAGGCCTACACAAATCTGCCCAGGCTTAATAGTCCTAGTGTTATATGGAACATCTTTCGTTGTAGCTGCTCCACACAACAAAACACATAGGACCCCTTAGCTCGGTAGCCAACATGCGGTAATATAGTAATATTAGTTACTCCAGGGGTGGCCAATCTTATCTGCAAAGGGTGGGTGTGTATGCGGGTTTTCGCTGTAACTCCTAATTAGATTACTAATTAGAGGACTGATTGGCTGAAGGGTCCCTCACACCTGGGTTTGAACAGCTGACCTACAGGTTATCCCAAAAACCTGCATACACACCAGCCCTTTGCGGATAAGATTGTAAGCGTAACTCAGGTGGCCAATGTAAACAAAAACCACCAATACCTAAATATTGGGGTTTTTTTTTGCTTTTGATGTGAACTATGAGCAGCAATATTAACGCCTTTACGTACAGACTAACAAAAACAACAGTTTTGCTATGATGCTAATTTACGTAATACCGGTTTCCTAAAGCTTTGCTATGTTAATTTGCAGTTTTAAACCTTCACTTTAATATCCTAGAGCCCTATTATTCAAATCACGGTCCCCGAGGTCTGAGCCCTGCTGGTTTTCCAGCCTTCCTTTACCTGTGAGCCAGGTGTGAAGCCTCTGACCAATCAGAATCAGTAATTATTAAACTACCTACCTGGGAGAACGGAAAACAAGGCCTGGATTTGGAATCGAGGTCCAAATTTGAAGAACCCTGTCTTAGACAACTTCGGCACCATTCGTAATTCAAAAATCGCTCTAACAAACTCTGAAAAGTTTAATTCAGGGGTGGCCAATCTTATCTGCAAAGGGCTGGTGTGTATGCAGGTTTTTGGGATAACCTGTAGGTCAGCTGTTCAAATACAGGTGTGAGGACTCTTCAGCCAATCAGTCCTCTAATTAGTAATCTAATGGTTCTAATGTAATTAAATCCCCTGGTTTAATTGGACGAATGACCGCTCCTATAAGCCGTAACAAAGGACAGGTTGCTCATGCTTCCAAAAAGTGAAAGTACACGGAAGGCGTAACAGTGCCTTATTGGCGTTCGTGCCTGCAACTTATTATCATTTAATATGACCGAGTATGAAGTCATCGAAATACGCCATGATAGCTGGCGTCACGATTATTCTTCTAAAGGATAGACACTTTCTCTGACTGCTTATCTGATAGCTTCTATGCTCGTGATCGGAAGGGTGTCGGTTCGAGCCCACCATCTGCACAATACTCACGTCTGCTCGCCCTGAAGCCAGGCCCCTAACCTAAGGCGCTTCGATTCTTAAAATCCTGTAGTCGATTCCAAGAGTTGGGATTGGATGGAGTCCATTCCAAGAGACATTTTCATACAGCAATTTGAAATTCAAATTCCAGAGAGGAAACAGGTCTTGTAAAAAGAACGAGAGAGAGAGAGTAATATGAAGGACAAGGGATCTTGATACTTTCCAGTTACTTTTATAAACTTAATCTTTTGCTGGCAGGTATGCCTTTTAAAAATGTATGTATATTTAAACAGTATACCTCATAATTTATGTCTTGGTTGCACAATTCGCACAAAAAATATGATAGGCCGGCTATTTTATCCAGTTTATTTTCTCATTGATATTCTATTGCCCAAATCCCAGGGGTCCCTAAAGCGGTGTGTTTTATTATAACGTAAGACTCCACCAAAATGATAATTGTCACGGCGCGACACCATGCCGGAGAACATAATCGATATGAACATTACATTGATATGCACGGACTTTTGTGATATTCATCCACTGTTTCACATATATGCCGGTAAAACAACAACTTGTTTGTGGAACTGATGTGAAATCGTATGCCATGCTTGTCCTTTTGTGTGTCTGAAGTTTTGTTTGATATGTGTTCCTTTGTGTGCTACCGGGGCGTTGAAGTGTCGGGAAGTCTATGAGCAACGATATATTTAGTTATGCTACGGGTAACTTGCTACTTTTGCATAGTGTAAGGTATAAAGGAGGTGATTGTGATTTCGGAAGCTTTTTAAACAATGCTCTAACCAGAGAGGGTACTAACCTGGTGAGGGAGTTTGAGCTGTTTCACTGGCAAACCGGAAGAGGTGGAGTTGCACCCCTATTTCACATGGTTTGCTCTGGTTAGCTACCATTGCATAATTTGACCACAGGGGGGAAATAATGGACTGTGGAAATGTTATTTGTGTAAATTCTGTGTGTCTTTTGATGCCAAGGGTGGTGGTAATGTGTATTTGTATGTGAATGTTTTAATGTAATGCATATATTTATATTGTTGGAGTTTTGTAAAGCTTAATTGATTGAAGCTGTTGATGGAATAGCCGGAGGCCTATTTCTAAGGCCTGAATGAGAGAGAGAGTTTTTAATGCTTGGCAGGCTATGAGAGAGCATACGTGTCTGTGAGCTGTTCGGCCAAATATATTTGGTGTAGCAAAATTTTGTATCAGTAATTTTGCCTTATTTAGTGCATACCAGCACATAGGTTTTGTTTCTCTTTCTTTTTCATATTTATATTATACAATGCTCAAAAAAATTAAAGGAACACTTTGAAAACACATCAGATCTCAATGGGGAAAAAAATCATGCTGGATATCTATACTGATATGGACTGGGTAATGTGTTAGGAATGAAAGGATGCCACATCGTTTGATGGAAATGAAAATTATCAACCTACAAAGAGCGGAATTCAAAGAGACCCCGAAAATCAAAGTGAAAAAATGATGCGGTAGGCTGGTCCATTTTGCCGAAATTTCATTGCAGCAACTCAAAATCGTACTCAGTAGTTTGTATGGCCCCCATGTGCTTGTAGGCATGCCTGATAATGTCGGGGCGTCCTCCTAATGAGACGCCGGATGGTGTCCTGGGGGATCTCCTCCCAGTTCTGGACCAGGGCATCACTGAGCTCCTGGACGGTCTAAAGTGCAACCTGGTGCCGTCGGATGGACTGAAACATAATGTCCCAGAGGTGTTCTGTTGGATTTAGGTCAGGCGAGCGTGGGGGCCAGTCAATGCTATTAGTTCCTTCATCCTACAGGAACTGCCTGCATACTCTCACCACATGAGGCCAGGCATTGTCCTGCACCAGGAGGAACCCAGGACCCACTGCACCAGCGTAGGGTCTGACAATGGGTCCAAGGATTTCATCCTGATACCTGATGGCAGTCAAGGTGCAGTTGTCTAGCCTGTAGGGGTCTGTGTGTCCCTCCATGGATATGCCTCCCCTGACCATCACTGACCCCCCACCAAACCGGTCATGCTGAACAATGTTACATGCAGCATAACGTTCTCCATGACTTTTCAGATCCTTTCACATCTGTCACATGTTCTCAATGTGAACCTGCTCACATCTGTAAAAAGCACAGGGCGCCAATGGCAGATCTGCCAATTCTGGTATTCTACAGCAAATGCCAATCGAGGTCCACAGTGCCGGACAGTGAGCACAGGGTTCACTAGAGGACGTCAGGCCCTCAGGCCACCCTCATGAAGTCTATTTCTGATTATTTGATCAGGGACATTCACACCAGTGGCCTGCTGGAGGTCATTTTGTAGGGCTCTGGCAGTGCTCCTCCTGTTCCTCCTTGCACAAAGGAGCAGATACTGGTCCTGCTGATGGGTTAAGGACCTTCTACGGCCCTGTCCATCTCTCCTAGAGTAACTGCGTGTCTCCTGGAATCACCTCCATGCCCTTGAGACTGTGCTGGGAGACACAGCAAACCTTCTGGCAATTGGCACGTATTGATGCGCCATCCTGGAGGAGTTGGACTACCTGTGCAACCTCTGTAAGGTCCAGGTATCACCTCATGCTACCAGTAGTGACACTGACTGTAACCAAATGCAAAACTAGTGACAAAAACAGTCAGAAAAGATGAGGAGGGAAAAATGTCAGTGGCCTCCTCCTGTTAAACCATTCCTGTTTTGGGGGTCGTCTCATTGTTGCCCCTCTAGTGCACCTGTTGTGAATTTCTGATTAACACCAAAGCAGCTGAAACCGATTAACAACCCCCTCTGCTACTTAGCTGATCACGTCAATATCACAGAAGTTTAGTTGACTTGATGCTATACTCTGATTAAAAAGTGTTCCTTTAATTTTTTTGAGCAGTATATTAGTGTTTACTGTAAATATTGAGCACTGTGGCTTGATGAATAAAGAAAACAATTTGGGCCCTAGTTTCTCCTCGTCTGTAACCCTTCTTGCTGTCTCTGCCGCCGTTCATCCAAACACTAATATTAATGATAAATCTGAGTGACATAACTACATTCCTGGATCCTCTGCTGCCAAGGAAAAGGTCACATTTCTACGTATGACGGAGCCTTTGAAATGGGACAGCCCTGTCACACGGCTGTGACCCATTCGGCCACAGACCCTGAACTGGGGCACAGCCGTTAGAATCTATTCGCCGTTCGCTGACTCGCAGTGTGATGGTAGTGTGGTAATTGGCCAGATGGCCTTTCAATCAGTCTAACTTGACCAGTGTGTGTGTGCTTTCAGACACGGAACAGAACTGATATAGTAAAGTGGGAGCGTAACACCACACCCCCCCCCCTTGCAATGCCTATGATTATCCATGTCCCCCATCTACTTGTGTATCTACCCCTACACACCTCCACCTGTGAGGGTGTATGACAAATGTTTGACAACAAACTGAATATACGTCAAAGCAGTACCACACAATATTGCATGTCTTCCAAGCCTAAAAATACAGTGGATTTTTTTTCAGCAGGACTACTAATTGCCATGATTGTCAGCTCAGACACTCCTCTGCTCTTTTAAAAGCCACTTGGTTCAGTTTAAACTCCAGCGCAGTTTGGTACCACAATAAAATCCAACTACACAATTATACTAAACAAAACCTTCAAATTCCTTCCAAGACCTTTGCATATTCAGAGAAATACTACACAAAGTCCATTGGCTTGGGTTCACTTGGAAAAGAAACTTTGTTTCAACGTAACTACACTAGAGGATAAAATATAAAGTAAAATAAAAGCAAAAAGCATTAAAGCCTGCAATATGTGCCAATTACATGGAAGAACTGGCTAAACCTGTATTCCCATTCAAATGTTCAGTCATTTTTAGGCACAAAAATACTTTATTGCCAAATTAATACAATAAAATCTTATTCAGAATGACATTTAACAAAAATTCCAACAGAATACAGTATTTCTAAAACATTTCCTGCACAACCTTTTTGTTGGCAAATATGTTGTTGAATTACCATGGTCCAATTACCATAAATGTCAACATTTGTTAATATATTAAACGAAGCATGCAATTTAATGACATTAATATAAAACTATAGGCTTTTATGGAAGATGTAAAAAATGAATCATTTAAAACCAAAATTATAAAATAAAAATATTCAGAATGTTATGACACACCAAACATGACCTAAATATCTTGCATTCTGTTTTAATATTTTCTTGTCTTAACCATTAGCTTCCAAACCACTAAGCCACCAGACCACAAAGAAACACAATGTCAACAAAAAACATGCGTCTGTCACCATCCATGCATTCATGCTTCACAGCAGCCAGTCAGCAAATAAATATTCTACCTATAACATTTGTGGGGCCTGATTTCCTATTGGACAAACATACCACAAGGAACTTACTAATGAGGTTAGGCAGTCAGGCAGCTGAAACATCGGAAACAACGTCGGCATGGATTCTTCTTCCTGTACCTCACAGCTTGGTTGAGCCTCACATTTGTTGCACCAAAGTAGCCCTGTGTGGCGAGAATGTTGGCTTCGATGTTCTCCAGAAAGCTGCCCTGCTCTTCCACCAGCAGTGCGACCTGCAGAAACAGCTCGCGAATGTCACGCAGGCGACTCTCGAGATCCAGGAGCTCTCGGTGGCGGTCCTCCATCTTGACGAGTGCCGAGCGCGATGTCCAGATGCCTTTGGAGAAGAAGGAGCTCCACTTGCCAGTCTCGATCATTTCATCTACCTGCTCGCCAGTCACTTGCTGACCCAGGATATCCGCCTGCCGCTGAATCCGCGTCTTACAGTGCTCTCTCAGGGTTGCCTCGGCCCAGTTGTAGTAAAGCAGAGCTTCACGGAAGCTGCTGGTCAGGGATGCGTACTGGCAGCGTGCAATACGCACCACGGCAGAGTCGGCTCCCATCTTCTCCTCTAGCTCCTGGCTCAGGCCGTCCATCCGTCGCAGCCGCCGGTACAGGGCCTCACCCTTAACCCGAATACCCTGAGCGATAGCATTGGAGCCACGCTTGATGCTGCTGATGCGCCGGAAGGAGGTGAGGAATCGCCCGTTCTGCTTGGCCAGCCGTCCGGCGTCCATCCTGAGCAGGCCGATATCCCGCTGTATGGACTGCACCTCCTCGAACACATCCTTCAAGGCGTCCTCCTTGTCTGCAAATGATGCGGCTTCCTGCCCCAATGTCTCAGGGCCCATGCAGAAGGTGTACACCTCCTCCTCCCCCCATTCGGAGGATTCAGGGGAGATCCGACGCAGCTCACAGAGCCTGTCCCTCATTCTGCCTGCGGGGCAGACACATCCACCTCACATCACTCTCCCATAGCGATGCTTTGCTGGTGTCATGGTCTACGGCAGGTACATCATTTCACATACAGATGAGTGTTTCTTAACCCAGCAGTGCGCCAACAACGATTACAATCATACATCAGTCATATGTATCAGTAATATTTCATGATACGTTATGCAATAATTAATTAACTCTTAAGGGAGCACAGAAATGCATTGTGCAATGTGCTCCACTGGCCATAAAGCGGAACAACCACCGGAAGTTGGAAGAACCAAAAATAAATCACTCAACATAAGCAACTTTTAATCGGGACAAGAACGATACAGCTCGTTGCAACTCAGATTCAGTTTTCTATCGACTAACAATCGACAGCAACACAGTTTTGGGCCTCCAATTTTGTTTAAGGTGCTTAAATAAATAAAGCAAGGGTTAACAAAAAATCTCGTAGACAAATTTGATGAACTGAGTAAAGCGACGGCGTCGCAACCGCGCTACGTTCTACAAACACAGGTACAACATCCATAGCAAACAATTAACAGGATGTTTATAGAATACACAGCTTGTGCACGCAATGCCGTTAGTATTAAACTCCAAAACTTACTCAATACTCGCGTGCAAACACGTGCATGAAGAACATTTAAAATCCTTTCCAAGTCATTTTAAACTTCACTTCGAAGTCTTAAACCACTACCTACAAATCAAGATAATTACACCACCGCCATGATCTAGAAACTGACCTACACTTAGGCCTGCTGACGACCTCGCAATTATGCATTCATATACATTTTCGAATACTTTAATAAAATCTTTTAAATCAATTCAAACTAATATTTAACCATTAGTAACCATTCACTAGATTATATACAAGTAGTTGGAGGAAAACAAAACTTTTCGGAAGTACATATTGTGTTTTATGTAGTAAATCACTTACGTAGTTAAGCAGATCAGTAACTTATTTAGTTCCCCGTAGTTTAATATCGCACCTTCAGTGTAGGTAAAGCCGGGCTCGCCGCTTTCTGCCTGACCTACACCGCCGCTGGATGCGGGTGTTAAGGTTAGCGGCCAATTTAACCCATAGCTGAGCTGTCACAGGAAGCTGGTAATCTTGGGAGTGCCAGAATTCGAGATTAATTTCGTAATTTTCACCAGATTCTCATTTGTATCATATTACTCACTCGCGTAAATAAAAAAAATCGTTATAATTGAGGGAAAAGTTTTGTACTTCTGATGAGCAGTGTGTGGATAAATTCGTTTTCAAAATGCTTTCATTATTGGATTAAAGGTGATTAAACAATGTCATTTAGGGTATTCTGCAAAATCAGTTCTAATAGTAGTTAATTAAGGTACGTACACTTGGAAGCAGAGAAGTCGGGGGATCCCTGCATGCTAAACGTACGTCACGGCAGATGTGCGCTTGATATACATGTGTGCTGCATTTGATTTATACGGGCGTGGCTACAGGTGGGCTGGGGTGGGCCATGCCCAGCCAACAATGACAACCAATCATTAGTGATTTAATATAATCGCTAAATTGCTGAAATAGTAGGCCTAACTTTTACTGTTACCCCCCAACTAGAACATTGGTGGTCCATGTAAAATCATGCACTATATTCCACAGTGGAAATTAAACTAGTTCCTACCCACGTGTTTTGCTTTTCCGTTTGGTTTTCCAATTGATAACAAGCCAGAACGCTAAACTGGTTGAATGATCATAATAATTAGTTCAATCCAATGATGACATGCATTTTGGTACAGACAAATCACATAGACACACTTTAAAGAATTTATGTATTTGTTCGTTTGTTTCTCGATAGCACTAATTGATTTCAAATTTATATTTATCATTTGTATATATTAAAGATAATTAAAAATCTTAAAGCTTGTTAAAGCTTGTCGAGCAAATTGGTTGTAGAAGTTGATATTTGAGTTACTGATCCTTAACTTCTATGTCATACTAAGAGTTGAATGAAAATGTATTTAATTTATATAAACTTTTTATTTCCATCCATCTTCCAGCCGCTTTTAATTCTTTTAAATTGTTCTTTTAACAAATGTTTTTTTGTCTTTAGGATAACAAGATCATGTATCACTTTCCAATATCAATATCCAATATCATTGGTCACTTTCCAACTATGTTAAAAGTTTGTGTGGTATTGGTGTATTAAATTGTCTCTTATTACTAAGTCAAATTCTTTCCTTGGTTTCTTGTCAATAAAGAGGGTGAAATACCACACTCTCCTGTACTAATCTGTCTACTAGCCTCAGGACTTACGAGTCCAAATGAATTTGCGGTCAGTGAGGAAAGCAGTTATGCCAACAAAGTCGTCAGCGGCTGCTTTGGATCTCCTGATTGCTATCAGACCTGGCTTCCCTGAAGGGCAAAGATCGGACTGAGGACTCGAGAAGGACAAGCAAGACATATGGGCAAACTTTTGTGAGTTTTCATCACCCAACACGATGACCATGGAGATCAACATAGTGTGTCTACCGGAATGATCATTTGCTGCATAATTCATTCTCTTTGCTACAAAGCAATGATGGACCATCCTTAAGACTGAAGTAATACTAAAATTGATTAACAGTAACCAGGGAAACATCAATTTTTTTTTAAGTGTGGAGGCATTTCTAATAAGATTTAAACCATTGAAGGGACTTAGGTCGTACATTATCAACAGTTTGTTTTTTCTTGTTTTAAAAAGGTTTGATCAGAATTTGGGTGAAATCAGAGCTATTGAACAAAATCAGATCCTTGTCACAGCTTTTCTCAATAGGGGCTCCTAAGAAATCACACAGCTAGCGCAATTACAACACATGTGGCTTTCAGAGGTCATTGTGTCCTCAGTACAATTTGGAGACATGCTTCTCACTTGTAGCATGGGAAGCAGCCACAGAACATCTTCTTGAAGGGGTTATTCCTGCTGTGCTTCTTGGCCGTATTCAGCTTGACCATGACCTGCCCTAGGGATGCATCTATCTTGTTAACATTAGCCTCGATGGTGTTCGTCATGGGACCATGTTCTTCCACCAGCAGAGCCAAATCCAAAAATAGCTCATGGATACTCTGAACGCGGTTCTCCAGGTCCAGAAGCTCCTTGTGTCGTCTCTCAATCTGATTAAGGGCACCTCCAACGGTCTTGCTGTCAACTATGTCCTCTGTAAAAACATTCCAGTTGCCGTTCTCGATCATCTCCTCAATCTGCTCGCCAGTGACCTCCTTGCCTGCGATCTCCAGCTGGCGCTGGAGGTTGGCTTTGCAGTTCTCCTTGTGCAACATCTCCACCTCATTGTAGTTAAACATAGCGTCCCGGAAGCCGTTGCTCAGGCAGACGTACTGGGTCCGGGCGACGCGAGCCGCTGCCGAGTTGGTCCCTTCGGAATCCTCTAGCTCCTTACCTTGCGCCTCCATCCTTTGGAGCTGGGCCAGCACTCTCTCGCCGCGGGATTTGATGTCAGCGGCAATGGCGTTGGAGTCCCTCCGGATGGCGCTCATGCGAGTCACCTCGCTCAGCATCCGTGTGTTCTGATCCCTCAGCCGGCCGACGTCCAATCGGATCAGATGGATTTCCTGCCGTATGCTCTGCGCCTCTTGAAACACATTATCCAAAGGCCCCTCGTTAAACACAACTGCCTGGGGCTGCACATCATCCAGGTCTATGTTGCTGAAGACCTCTGACATGGAGTTAGAAGAGGAATCATCCTGCCCATCAGACACCTCCTGTAATTCAGCCAATCTGTCCCTCATTCCTGTATGAAATAATGAATCACTGCTTACTTTAGCAATACACCTAGTACTCACATAGTACTCATATAGTACTACTGTGTACTGACTGACTTATCTATTATTCTTTATCTTAGCAAGGTATCTGGCTGCTTTCACTCTCACATATCTGCTCTGCCAGCTGCCCCAGTATGCCAACTGAAGTGTATATTTAACAACTGAATATAGCCTATATCGCAAAGTCAGTGCCATGTTGTGCTCAAACCATTGTTTTTATTCCAGCCCCTTTAATAAAATTCCAGTTTCTCTGGTCAAATAATCTACACAGAAACTATTGAAGGCTAAGTTATTTTTTTTCAGCCCGGGGCCCTAATTCTAGTTCAGGAAAAGAACCAATCAGAAAGCAAGTCACTTTAAATTTCAAGTGAAACAAGATACTTCCTTACGACGTGACTTAATATACAAGTTTGACGAGTTTTCGCAAAAGGAATGCACGAGTGGGACACCTCACTGAACAAGTTAACCAAGATGTTTTAGAGAGTTTCTACTGTAGCAGTCTTGTGTGTTTGCAGTCTTCAATAGATTTAGAAATAAGACCATAAAATAAGATTAATTATCAAGTATTTCGTCTTTATTAAATGTGCTTTACAAATCAAGGATAACTGATGCATTGGCACGCAGAATGTACCACCGTACTCCTTATATGGTGGGCCTTACAAAAATGTATCAATGTGATCAAATCAGATCGATCTGATTTCGCGTGCTACAGTAAGGTTTTAAAAACTCACCTTCGCGTTTCTGTCCAACCTGAAGCCTGTGACGATGCAGAGGGGGAAATGCAAAGATTGGTGTATCTTTCGAGGCAGCATCAATGTCTTGAAATGTTAGCAGTCTTTGGTAACATTTTTCAATATGCCAAAATGCGCGTAACCATGGCTTACATTACATCTATTACTGTAAATGACAATTTTGTAATCTACTGTGATCAATTCGGCCGTATTTGGTATGCTCTTAACGTGTTTCCTTAAAGGCAGAACTAAGTAAACGGTTAAATAACTTTTTAATTCACCTTTGTAACGCGATATCTAGAGGGACAGTCTCTGCTACTCACCCTCGCATTGTCGCTGCAGGTCCTACAAGTCCAGGAATACCTGTTGGAATAGAATATTTACACGCTTGAGCTACGGAATATGTTTATATGTGCACTGCACTGTTTGGACGACAGGGGATTTCAGACACCATCGCTATTAATGGACGTTCAGGTGATCTCAGCCTGGAATGAAGCGCGGTCGGTTTGACCGCGCCTATACTTCACCATCGTCATACTCAGGGATATATTCAGCCATAAGACATTGCCTTTTTAATTTGCATGATGCCATTTTAAACATTAATTAAACGCATGCCTGTGACATATTAGACGAGTATAGTACATTCTCAATTTCAACAGTACAAAAAAGATCTCTTGTGTCGAACGGCCCATGTCACATTGCGAGTCCTGAAAAGATCTGCTAGAAGATGTATAAAGAAATACAAACGCACGGTATCGCGTGAATGGTGGAGTTGTGGAGTTCAGGATATATAGGGCAGAGCTGTACCGGTTGCTGGACAAGGTGTTTAATTTGGGTTGTTTCATTTTTTCTCCAGGTGCATCGCTAGATGGCGACATTGTAGCACAGTGGCCTTACACCCTCAGTTGCTTTGGGTTTAAAGTTTGCATGTTCTCCCTGTGTTGTTCGTCCGACTTTGCCATAGTGTGCGTCAGGATCCCAGTCTGTTATGTTCCCGTTTGGCCAGAAGATGTCGCTGCTGGCCACCCCATCTCCTCCCTCTTGAACATAATCATTCGCTCCTGTATCTGTATGATGTTCAATTCCCTAGTCCACTCATTGTCGATTCCCACGTCAGTCTTGGTAGAAGTTAGTGTCTATGTTCACCTAGATTGTAGTCAGTACAATATGTCCCATCTACAGCCAGTTCTTGTTTCACTTCCCTGCCTTCTGCTTTGACCCCTCCTTTTCCTCTTCTTTCTTTTTGATTGTGTCCCTTGTTAATAAATCCCTTCAGTTTCTCTATAAGCTGCATCTGGGTTGCCTCTTCATTGCCGCCATGACAGTGTGAGCAGGACTGTGCAATAGACGGGCATCCCATTCAGAGTGTAACCCTGACTTGTGTCCTGTGCTGCCTGTAATTTAAAATAAAGAATTCTGCCCATTGGGTGGTATGGTGATGCAGTGGTTAGCGCTCTTGCCTCACACCTCTGGGACCTGCGTTCAAATCTTCACCATGGTTCCATGTGTGTGGAGTTCACGCATTTTCCATATATGGTTGTGGGGTTTCCTCAGGGTACTCCAGTTTCCCCACATAGTCCAAAAACATGCCGAGGTTAATTGGAGTTACCAAATTGCCCATAGCTCTGCATATGTGAGTGTACCCTGTCCTGGTTTTTCCCTGCCTCAGATGGAATTCCTACTGCATGCCAATTTGTGTTCCCTGTCTTTGGGAGAAATAGGTCGAGCATATATTGAATCGATGCTTTCCATTGAACACCCAGAGCTGGGTCAGCATCCCAGACAAAACACTGAAACCGTGAGACCACAGCGTTACTTACTGAGCGACCATGAAGCTAATGTTGTTATAATTAAGTCATGTGACTGATTGCCTGATTAAATTAACAAAGGGCCTTAAATTTAGTGCCAGTCTGGGCTTATAATAAGGAGAGAGGAGGGAAGCATGTGACTACAGCAAGAGCAGAATGAGGAAACGCAGCCCCTTACGGCGAAGGAGCCTCCGCTGGCATTCCAGCAGCATCAAAGGAGTTTGGAGCCCAAAGGTTCACTCCTTTGAAAACTCACAGGATCACAGGTCCATATCGGGCACTTGTAGTTATGAGTGGAAAGGGTTTCTACAAGGGTGTAGTTATCAGTATTAATGCATGCATTCAGTGCATCCTTTCATGATGGTGCTTGGCTCAGTTTTTTATGCTTGTGTGCCTGTGATTAGAAGGTTGCAGTAAGTATGCGTGGCTCAGCGGGCTAAGCCTCTGTGCCTGTGATTGGAAGGTTCCAGTAAGTATGCGTGGCTCAGCGGGCTAAGCCTCTGTGCCTGTGATTGGAAGGTTGCTGCTTCGTGTCTGATTTGGCAGAATAGTAACATGTCTGTGGGCCCTTGAGCAAGGCCCTTAACCCCCAGCTCTTTGGAGACTGCATGGTGTCTGTGATTCCCCCCCCCAGCTTGCTCTCATCTGTATGGAAAGCAAGATGTGGCAAAGCAAATTTCTCCACGGGGCTAATAAAATATCACTATACTAATAGGGCCATGAAAGAGACACAGATACCCTGGCAGATTCCTATACGTTCAGGGGGAAGCACTTTATAGGGGCTGCTAAATATGAAAATATATATTTTATGTATCCTCGTGGAACATTATATCTCTGCTCGGCAAATTCTAACGTGGGACCCGCCCCCCATTCGCTCAGCAAATGCCATATACCGTATTGTGGCAACACTAAGGGAAGGCGGGGGGGTGGGGGCTTGGTGACTAGATGACACTTTGTTGGGGGGGTGGGCGAATTTCGAGATAGGCTACGCCTTGCAGAACTTAACAACACGAATAAACATGTTTGCGTGTTATGGCAAGTTATATATGAAAGTATGAATCATGGCAACGCTATGTGGCAAACCTTACCCATAAACGTAAAAATTAGGTAAATTATTTACATTTCCATAAACAGGGAACTGGTTAAAAATGTGTTATTTATCTACGAACAAACTGGCGTATCTGTTCGGTGTGAGTGGCAGATGTGAGGGCACCGACGCGACATTTCTGCCTTATGGGGACGTGCGCGCACACGTGTCGACTAGTCGCGCCCCCGCACTCGGCTCTTTAGAGGGTAACATCTGAACTCGGGAGCAGACACAGGTCTGTGCGCCGTCAGGACTTCCTTCGGGTTTACATCATGAGATTGTCCGCCGCATTTCGGAGCGCCTGCAGGATCTTTCCCGGCTCATCCCGCGGACAGTGCCGCTCCGGTGTCGGGCTCCTGAGGACCTTTCCTGCTATCGGCACCTCGCCGGTCCGAGATGCTGCCTCTGCCGGCGCTGGTGGTTCATCAGAAGCGGTGATCAGGAATGTGGAGAAATACCGGGAGCGAAGCGGCGATGTCTGGTACGAAGAGGCGATCGGGTAAGTTAAAAAGAAATCCTGTTTCAGTTTATAACACCGTATGGTGCTTACAGCTGGGTCAACGAACAAGCAATTTCCTGTTTGAACAGAATTTTACAAGAGATAGATTTTACTTTCGTTCTTTAATTGTACTTCCTTCCTGATAGTAGAGTAAAAAGGAGACAAACGGCTGCGATTTGACATTAGTAACCTGCATGTGAAGCAGCACAGCAGTTTGATTTGTGTGAGAATCGATGGTTTTCCAAGCTCGGTGTCCGGCTCCGCTGTCGGCTCTGAATGAATGCGGAACAGCGCCTGGTCACCACGTGTGATACTGTGTACTGGGTGGGGGGGGGATCCGCTTATGCAACCTTCCCGAGTTCTTACTCATGCCGTTTTTCTGCAGCTGACAAACGGTGGCCGCTGTATTCTTGGTTGTCTTCAGAGTTATTAATCTAGTGATTTCTTAATAATACTATACATGTATGCGTGTCACTCACTCGTGGTATCTAGCTGATAAATATATCCACGTGATTATGCATATGAACGGACTTGTGTTCTTCTAGTCAAGCGCGTTATTATCGCTTTAGTTAGGCTATGAGCGATCAGGGTGAAGGCACCGTAGACCGTGGCAGATTGCCACCAGGTTTTCCGCGAGGGAGATGACCCTTATTTGGGTCGTAACGGTTCCGTCTTTATGCATAATAAGGGGTAACACTTTACTTTACGGGGCTCAAATTCTTAATAATAACTCAGTTACTACTGAAGTACAAATTATGAACAAATCCTAAGCAAATATATTCGCTAATTGAGAAAAAATATATGTCACGATTCATTTATGATGAACAAACATGAGATCAGTATTTCACTTTTGTTATTCATGATCTGTTCTTTCAGTAGTTCCTTCAGGAGTTCACAAACAAATATAGTAACTGCTTGGGACGAAAGATGCATCAATCAATCAATGATGAATTAACATGAGATCAGTATGTACATAAGTAATAATATAATACTATATTATTTGTGCTCCATCAAGTACAGTGTTACAGTGGATCTGAAAGGCTTGCTAAGGTGTCCCTCGATTTGTGCCTAGTCTGAAAATGCCCCTGTCAGCCTCGGCTCTATATTTCAGAGCTTCGGTCTGCAAGTTGTTTTTACTTTAATCTAGTGTCGTCCCCTCGCCCTTACAGTGAGATCATCAGGAAGTCCAGAGATGGCATAGCCCAGCTGCAGCAGTGCCGGCCCGCCCCCCAGCCGGTGCTGGCCATCATACAGGTTGGCCGGCGCTCCGTACCTTTGCCTGGTTTTTAGTTCGGCTGTACAAAGTACCTCATGACACCGCTGCTGTTGATGGATCCCAGTGTGGGGCTGCATTAAAGGGAATAATAACTGCGGGTAGTAGGGTTATTGGGGCTGAAACACACTCCCTCCAATCTCATCATCCCATTTGCTTCATAGCATACTCTTGAATTTCATCATTATGGAATAATCCAGAATGCCTGTTCACTCACCCACCCCACCCCCCCAGACAAAGATCCCCATGCATTATTCAAGAACCCTCTTTTACACTCCCCCCCCCC